TCAGAGCCAATAATGATCAATTTCAAGGCAGAGGCAGAGGAGGAGCCCCTGATAAATCCAAAGTAGAATGTTTCAGGTGTCATAAATTTGGTCATTATCAATCTGAATGTTATACTAAGCTGCCAAATAGCAAAGAAAAAGAAGAAAGTTCAAACTTTGCAGAAAAGGAGGAAGGTGAAACCTTATTGATGGTTGCTAAAGATGAAAAGCAAATTGAGCCAGATGTTTGGTATGTGGATACTGGCTGTAGCAACCACATGAGTGGTAGTAAGTCTTCTTTCTCTCATCTGAATGAAAATTTTCAATCTACTGTGAGTTTTGGTGATCATTCTACTGTATGAGTTCAAACAGATTGTTTCCATTAAAGATTGAAGGAATCCAATCTAGTTTAATGGCTGAAATGAAAGATCCTTCATGGTTGTGGCATTTTCGCTATGGCCATTTGAGCTTTGGTGGGTTGAAGACGCTCCAACAGAAAAATATGGTGACAGGCCTCCCTCAAATCACAATTCCTCATTCCTTAGTATGTGAAGAATGTGTTGTTAGCAAACAACATCGTTCTGAATTTGCAAAAGGGAACTCATGGAGAGCAAAGGGAATTTTGCAATTGGTGCATTCAGACATTTGTGGTCCAATAAATCCAATTTCTAATGGAGGTAAAAAATATTTAATTACCTTCATTGATGATTTTTCTAGAAAAACGTGGGTTTATTTTTTACAGGAAAAGTCAGAAGCTTTCTCTACATTTAAAAATTTCAAAGCTCGTGTGGAGAATGAGACAGGAAGGATGATTCAGACACTTCGCACAGATCGTGGTGGTGAATATTGCTCAAAAGAATTTGAAGCTTTTTGTGAAGAACATGGCATCCGAAAAGAGCTTACAACTGCGTATACACCACAACAAAATGGTGTATCAGAGAGGAAGAATAGAACCATCCTCAACATGGTTAGAAGCTTGTTGGTAAGAGGAAGAGTTCCAAAGACGTTTTGGCCAGAAGCAGTAAACTGGTGCATTCATGTCTTGAACAGAAGTCCAACCTTTGCAGTTCGAAATATGACGCCAGAAGAGGCTTGGAGTGGGAGAAAACCAAATGTGGATCACTTTAGAATTTTTGGATGCATTGCATATGCTCATGTCCCGGAACAGAAAAGAAAAAAACTTGATGACAAGGCTGAAAAATGTGTCTTTCTAGGTGTAAGTGATACATCTAAAGCATATAAATTATTTAATCCACTGACGAAAAAAATTGTGGTTAGCAGGGATGTTGTTTTTGACGAAGAAAACACTTGGGATTGGAATATGCAGCAGCCTACCGAAGTTCTTTGTGATATTGATTCTGAACAAGAGCAAATTTCAGCATCTAGTATGCCTGAAAATTCGTCCATTGCAACTTCTTCAGCTAGTCAATCCTCACCAACAGTAGTTGGAGTTAACGAAGAAGAAACTCAATCTCTTCGTCGTGTTAGAAGAAGGCCTACTTGGATGGAAGATTATGAGGTAACTGGAATTGAAGATCCAATTACTCACTTTGCTTTGTTTTCAGAATGTGATCCCGTGACTTTTGAGAGTGCTGTCAAAGAAGAAAAATGGCGAAAAGCAATGGATGCTGAAATTGATGCAATTGAGAGGAATGATACTTGGGAGTTAACTGATCTTCCAAATGGACACAAAATCATTGGTGTGAAGTGGGTGTTTAAAACAAAGTTAAAGGAAAATGGTGAAATTGACAAGCACAAAGCACGCTTGGTTGTCAAGGGGTACAAGCAACAATATGGGATTGATTATACAGAAGTTTTTTCTCCTGTTGCGAGACATGATACAATCAGGTTGGTGGTTGCATTGGCTGCACAAAATTCTTGGCCTATTTACCAGCTAGATGTCAAATCGGCATTCTTGCATGGGTACTTAGAGGAACAAATATTTATTGAACAACCCCCTGGTTATGAGAAAGTTGGAAATGAGCATAAAGTTTACAAATTGAAAAAGGCACTTTATGGACTAAAACAAGCCCCTCGAGCTTGGTATAGTCGCATTGAGTCTTATTTTCTTAAGGCTGGTTTTATAAAGTGTCCTTATGAACATACACTCTTTGTTAAGATTGGTGATGAAGGAAAAATGCTTATTGTTTGCTTATATGTAGATGATCTTATATTCACTGGAAATTGTGATGTTATGTTTGAAGAATTTAAAAAGTCTATGATGAATGAGTTTGAAATGACTGATCTTGGTATGATGCATTACTTTCTTGGCATAAGTGTAGCACAATCAAGTGATGGAATTTTTATTTCTCAAAATAAATATGTGGAAGATATTCTAGACAGGTTTCAGATGAAGGATTGTAATCCTGTGCACACTCCAGTTGAATGTGGCTTGAAGTTACATAAAGATCATGGAGGAAAGAAGGTTGACAGCACCTTCTACAAACAAATTGTGGGAAGTTTGATGTATCTCACTGCAACAAGACCAGACATAATGTATTCTGTGAGTTTAATTAGCAGGTATATGGAAAATCCTACAGAAATACATTTGTTGGCTGCCAAGAGAATCCTTCGCTACTTGCAAGGAACAAGAACTTTCGGGATATTTTACAAGAAGGGTGTAAAATCTGATTTAGTGGGATTTACTGACAGTGATTATGCAGGAGATCAAGATGACAGGAAGAGCACATCAGGTTATGTTTTTATGATTGGTACAGGTGCTATTTCTTGGGCATCGAAGAAGCAACCAATTGTCACTTTGTCAAGCACAGAAGCTGAATTTGTTGCTGCTACAGCTTGTGCATGCCAAGCCATTTGGCTAAGGAGAATTCTTGAAGAACTTCACTTTAAGCAAGAAGGAGCAACTTTAATTTATTGTGACAATAATTCTGCAATTAAATTGTCAAAGAATCCAATTTTACATGGGAGAAGCAAGCATATAGATGTGAAGTATCATTTCTTAAGGGATCTTACAAAGGCTGGTATAATTGATCTTATTTTTTGTAGAAGTGAGGATCAAGTTGCTGATTTGTTTACAAAGCCTCTCAAATATGTTGCGTTTCAAAAGCTCAGGGGATTACTTGGCATGTGTTCCATGGAGAAAGTCAAAGGATTTGGAGTAAACTGATTTTTTCAAGAACATCACTTTAAGGGAGGGAATGTTAGAGTCTCTTTGTTTTTTGTCCGTTAGAAAATTCAATGGTCTTTTAAGTTTGATGTAACGGCCATGTGCTGCACTAAAGTTGTTTGATGAGTCTTAACGGTATCATAATGAGTCAGTTTTGGGTAGTATAATGAGTCATTAAGTTAGAGTTTATTTGGGTGTAATGTGTCTCTTAATGTTATGTTTTTCAGTTTTAGTTTCTGGTTTATATTAAGTTTGAGTCCGTCTATGAAATTTGTATTCCCTCTTCAAACATTGTGAGTTATATTTCTGTATCTTAATTTTTCTCTATCAGATTCCCGGTCATCAAAAAATTTCTCTTGTACCAAACACACCCTTTAAGACTTGATTTATAACTCTTCCCTGACCTATTATAAAAAATCTAATACAACCTGTAAGGCCTACCAAGTTGCAAACTAAAGTTTATAGGTCCAAACCAAATTAAAGTATAAAAGATAAAGAAAAATATTCACAAATATCACATGAAATAAATTTTCATTAACATCACATGAAATAAATTTTCATTAACTTCACATGAAATTATGTTCATAAAGATCACATGAAAATTTCATACATATATATATATATACATATAATTTGCACTTTCTTTTCTAATTTAATTTTATATTATATTTTAAATTTTAAATAAATATTTATTATTTGTTAAAATAATATCAATCCTATTACTTTAAAAATTTTAAGTAATTTTTTTCCTAATAGATTTGTATACTTACGAAAATATTCTGATAATTTGATATGTCAAATTTTTTGGCTTCAGCTAAAATTAAATCTTGACTCTGCCACTGGTACAGATATTGGCATGAAAAAAAACTTACAACAAAAAGCAATAGTATTATTCCCTTTTGTATATATACACACACACAAAAGTTAGACTTTTAATATACTTAGGGGGCGGTTATATTTTCTATTAAAATTTTTTACAACTCTTACTACTAAACTAATCATTGTTAATTTTCGTTAATCTAATGATTATAATTTATTGGGTCACATTTATTAATTAATTATTAATTTTTAATAAATTATAACAGTTATATTGACGAAAATCAACGATGATTAGTTTAATAGTAAGAGTTGTAAAACTTTTTAGTTATAAGCTATGTTGCACCAAAACGGGCACGAAAAATGACACGATACGCTGACACGTTAATTCCAAAAAATATTAAATTTTAATACGTTAAAACATATTTTGATATCAAATAATATTTTTCATACCTTGTTAATTAAAAGTCATATAACCAATTAAATATTCAAATTCCATAATCTAAATATAAAGCAAAAATAATTTTTCATACCTTGTTAATTTTTTATATCAAATTCATAATAGAAAATATTTCATTTATAAATTAATTTTTTATTTTTAGTTAAAAAGATAAAATAAAATTTGTATTAAAAAAATAAAAACGTGTTGAAAAACGTTGACTGCGTATCAGAAGATCTTGAAAAAAATTGACTACGTATCGGACATATGTCGAAATGTGTAGATGTCGGACATATGTCTGACAGACATTTTTTCTAAAAACCATGTGTGTCCATGCTTCTTATGTAATAAATATAATCTCTCCCTATACTTAATTGTAATCATAAAATTGACAAAAAAAATAAAATCAAATAAAGTAAATGAGTGAACACAGATTTTCGAAGCCTAACCCAGCTTAGAACTCAACTTCTATGGGCTTGGTGATTTGGACTCTGAAGCCCAGCTAAATGGCTCTGTGATAAGTGTGGAAGCTCACTGAGTGGGATAGCTTCACAGAGCATGCAAGACAAGAAAGAACAAACGTTTGCTCAAGATAAGGATTTAAAGCCTCGCCATTCATTTCATTCCTCCCACTTTCATCCTCTATCATCAATACCCATTTCGAGTTTTTCCAAAAAGACTTCGTTTTTACACTTTTTTTTTTTTTTTTTAGAATTTCTAAAGACCAAAGTATCTGTGATTTTTTTTTGGCCTTTTGAAGCTTCTGAGGTACAAATTCTGCTTCAAGCCATGATTGCTCTTTGTTTCTCTGTGCTACTTCTTATCATTGTGTGGATTTTCCAGAACTTTTGTTGAACTTTCGACTCACTTGTTACTGTTTCAAAGTCTCCTCAGAGGATTATTGTTTTACGCTCTGCTTGAAATTGAAACACAATGCTCCCTTACAAGCTTAATTCACTACGCTAATTTAGTTAATTTTGGATAAGGACTCGTGGGTTTTCATGGCCTCGCCAATTAAAAAAACTTTTTTTTTTATGGTTCAATTTGTAAGCCTGATTTTCATTTTAGACTCTATTTTATAATTTGTTGGGTGGGGTTTAAAATTGTGTTTACTTTTGGTAAAATTTCAGCATGTGGTGAGATATAGTATCATGTTATGTTACATTCTGATGTAAATGCCAATATTCACAGGCTGATAATTTGTGCTTTTGCTATTTTGAAAATAACATTAATGACATAAAGGAGATAAATGAACTTGTCACAGAGTTGGGTTGTTAAAACCAGATAATGAAATTCAACGACTCAAAGTTGTTTGGAATTGGAGCTAGGAGAAACAATTGGAGTTGGAGCTTTAAACACTTATAAACATATGCATGAATGAAGTGATAAGATGAAAGTAACTAACAATAAACATTTTCTAAGGAAAATTATATCATCAAAAGCTGCATTCATGAAGTTGATTACCCAGGGTACACTAAATGGAAGTCCTGATTTACCACATGCTCCTATAATTTGTCATATAGGTTGATTCATTGACTATCTTTTTCACAATAAGTTTTATGCAGGGTAATTTTCATGGAGAAATTTCAACTGCAATGTAATCAGGGTCTTTATTTACTCATAATTTGTAAAAGATGTGATTATGTCATTAGGCTTGATGTGTTTGTGTGGACATTGATGCTGATATATGGAGCAGGATATGTAAAGTGATTCATGTATTTGTAAAATTTTGCTAGCTGAACCAATTAAGTTATTTCTATCCAACAGTCACTACTTCTGGCTGAACCTTATATGGTTGCTACCTAGGTATTTAACTCGTTATCTAAGCATGTACTTACTTTTCATATCTTTCATCTGTTTTGTGAAGGTGACAAAAGATGAACTGATTCTGAAATAGAACTAAGTTTTGCAATTCAGGCCAACATGAATCCTGTAATACCATGTTCTGTCGGCAATGTTTCAATTATTCCTGGAATCACCTACCCAACAAGGAAGAATAACATTTTAACAAGACTCAGTTTGTCAAGGAGCTCTACAAAACCTCGATCATCAACTCGGAGATTTCTCTTACCTTCATTTGTTGCCAGTGGAGTGTTTCCACAGAACAAAAGGATATGCTCTTTTTATAAAAAATCTAGAACCTCCATATCAGCCACAGAAACAGAAGTAGCTGTAGAGGAACCGGGTTCGCCTGTTGCAGATGAAGTTTCTGGTGATATTCCTTCAAATGAAGTTGGAGTAAGTGAAGATTCACCTCCTAAGTCTGATGCCAACCCTGCTCCAGCTAAAATCAGACGTTCAAGACCTGCAAGGAAAAGTGAAATGCCTCCTGTAAAGAATGAGGATTTGATTCCTGGGGCAACTTTTACCGGGAAAGTAAAATCTGTCCAGCCATTTGGTGCCTTCATTGATTTTGGAGCTTTCACAGATGGGCTTGTTCATGTTTCAATGTTGAGTGATAGCTATGTTAAGGATGTTGCAAGTGTTGTTTCTGTAGGACAAGAAGTCAAGGTGAAGCTGATTGAAGTGAACACTGAAACTCAGCGTATTTCTCTCTCCATGCGTGAAAATGCTGACACTGGTAAGCAGCGAAAAGATGCACCCCTGGATACTGAGAAAGCTGGACCTGGGAGGAGGAACACTTCAAAACCTAGTCCAAGGAAAGATGGTATGAAGAAAAGCACGAAATTTGTCAAAGGGCAAGAACTGCAGGGCACAGTGAAGAATATGACTAGGAGTGGTGCTTTCATATCTCTTCCTGAAGGGGAGGAAGGGTTTCTACCCATATCCGAGGAATCTTCTGATGGATTTGAGAGTGCTATGGGAAACTCTTCGCTGCAGGTTGGTCAAGAAGTCAGTGTACGTGTTTTACGTATCACAAGAGGAAGTGTAACATTGACTATGAAGAACGAGGAAGATACTGCAGTATCGGACTCAGCAGTTGGCCAAGGGGTTGTCCATAATGCAACAAATCCTTTTCAGCTGGCTTTTCGTAAGAATAAGGATATTGCTGCATTTTTGGATGAGAGGGAGAAAGTTCAGAATGAAGTTCAAAAATCATCAACTACAAGAACATTGGAAGAAATTAAGGGAACTGTCAATCAAGGGGAAACACTATTGGATGTTCCTGATTTGCAGGGTGAACCAGAAAGCATCAAGTTGACGGATGATGCTCCTTCTGCAGTAAAATATGCTGAAGATGATATTTCTGAAAATGCAGATGAGGGAGCCAAGGCATTGGATGGTTTCTCAACAGCTACTGTGGATGATGAAAGCAACCTAGTCAGCAATGTCTCTAGCCCAAATCCAGTTATAGATGGTGCGACGGAGAAGGAAATAGAGGTGGATTCTGCCATTTTGGCTGCTGAAGGGGATCTATCTACTGTAAATCCAATTATTGAGGAATCTACTCAGATAGATGTCACAACAAGCAATGTAAATACTGACTCACCGGTTGAAATAGCTAATGAAAATGTAATAGAAAGTGGTGTTGATCATGTTGTTGTGGAAGACAAAAAAGAATCACAAACTTCTAATGAAAAGGAAGAAATTGCAGCTACAGTACTAACAGACAGCGATGCAGTTGAACCTAGCCCTGATAAAATTGGAACTATTACAGCATCAGATATTGCATCAAGTGCACCAACTCCCCAAGAAACTGCAGGTTCTGTGTCTTCTGTCTCACTCTCTCTGATATACATATCCATCTGTCTATTTGCCTGTCTCATTTATATTTAAATATGGAAATACTGATTGTAAGTCAATTCTGAAATGACAACTAAAATAAAAAAGATATTTTGTGCAATGAGATGCATGTACAAGATCCTTCATCAAATAATATTTCCTGTGCATCACAAGTAGATGACAATGTTGAAGCTGTTCATGAGAACAATGACAGTGATACTAGTTTGAGTGGACAAAATGGTGAGTTGTGTCCCGAGGGAAGCTTGAATAAAGGTTATGCTCCAATTTCTTTTCAATTCCGGCTTGCCTGGTTCATATTAACTAATGAATGAGAAGTGGTAGCAAGTTTTCTAAAATTGGTGTTATTTGTTCTCTATATATAAATCATTTATTGCATGCTATTGTATCCCTTTCATTTCCAATGTGATCCCAATCAACTAGTTTTATGTAACTGAAGTAATTGACCTCATTATAATTGGCTTATTTAACAAGTGGAGGATTTTTATTTTTTTTAATAAAGGGTGTTCTTCAACAGTTAATCCTCTGTCAACAGATAGAAAAGAAGAAAATGATCAAGCTCCCTCTCCTGAAAGTTCTGCTACTGAAGTTGTACAAAACCCTGTTGATCCCAAAGAAGTGGAAGAACAAACACCTGCCACAGAGAATGAAGATTCTCTTACCTCACAAGTCGAAGATAAAGAGGTTAGCAACATTGGAGCTGTTCCTGGGAACAATGACGGTGATACTAGTTTTAGTGGACAAAATGGCAATTTGTCTCTTGAGGGCAGCTTGAATGAAGGTTATTCTTCATTTTTTTTTTCAATCTTGGTTAATGAATTGAAATTGGCAGCAGGGTTTCTAAAATTGGTGCTTATTTGATCTTTATATATAAATCATATATTACATGATATCCCTTTCAGTTCCAATTTGAACCCAATCAATTACTTTTATGTAACTGAAGCAATTGACATCATTGTAATTGGTTTACTCAATGAGTGTAGGACTTTTTTTTCTTTACTTTTGTTATAAAGGGAGTTTTCTTGAACTGTTAATCCTCTGCAAACAGATGGAATGGAAGAAAATGATCAAGTTCCCTCTCCTGAAAGTTCTGCTACTGAAGTAGTAAAAAACCCCATTGATCCTACAGAAGAAGTGGAAAAACAAACTCCTACCTCAGAGGATGAAAATTCTTTTACCTCACAAGTTGAAGATAAAGAGGTTGCAATTGCATCCAAGCAAAATGGCAATGTTGGAGCTGTTTCTGAGGATAATGACGGTGATACTAGTTTGAATGGACAAAATGATGAGTTGTCTCCTGAGGGAAGCTTGAACAAAGGTTATGCTTCATTTTTTTTCTCAAAATTCCTGCTTGGCTGGTTGAATTTCGGCTAATGAATTGAAATAGGTGGCAATTTTCTAAAGTTGGTGTATATTTGACCTTTATATATAAATTATATATTAGATGATATTGCATCCCTTTCATTTCCAATGTGATCCCAATCTATTAGTTTTATGTAACTGAAGCAATTGACCTCATTATAGTTGGATTATTTAACAACTGGAGGTTTTTTTCTTCTTCTTTACTTCTGTTATAAGGGGTGTGTTCTTCAACTGTTAATCCTCTGTCAACAGATAGAACAGAAGAAAATGATCAAGTTCCCTCTCCTGAAAGTTATGCTACTGAAGTTGTAAAAACCCCAATTGATCCCAAAGAAGTGGAAGAACAAACACCTGTTGCAGAGAATGAAGATTCTCTTACCTCACAAGTCGAAGATAAAGAGGTTAGCAACATTGGAGCTGTTCCTGAGGACAATGAGGGTGATACTAGTTTGAGTGGACAAAATGGCGACTTGTCTGTTGAGGACAGCTTGAATGAAGGTTATTCTCCATTTTTTTTTTTTTTTTTTTTTCAATTCCTGCTTGCCTGGTTCAAATCTGGTTAATTAATTGAAATTGGTAGCAACTTTTATAAAATTGGTGCTTATTTGATCTTTATATATAAATAATATGAGTTTTATAATTTTCATTTAACATGAGAATTCAAATTTTCCTACACATCCTTCGATTTCCGTGCTGACATGGGTTCTACATATAATTTTTTCTAATACCTGGGTCCCACATGCTTTTTATCTCTACAACATGAGAATTGAATTCTCATTTAACATGAGAAAATCAAACATATATTACATGATATTACATCCCTTTCATTTCCAATTTGAACCTGATCAATTACTTTTTTTGTAACTGAAGCAATTGACCTCATTATAATTGGTTTTACTTAGTGAGTGAAATTTTTTTTGTTTTCTTTACTTTTTTTATAAAGGTAGTTTTCTTGAACTACTAATCCTCTGTCAACAGATGGAATGGAAGAAAATGATCAAGTTCCCTCTCCTGAAAGTCTTGCCACTGAAGTTGTAAGAAACTGCATTGATGACCTCAAAGAAGAAGGGAAAAATCAAACACCTGCCATACAGATTGAAAATTCTTTTACCTCACAAGTTGAAGATAAAGAGGTTGCAATTGCATTCAATAAAAATAGCAGCTTATCAAATTCTAATGGACAAACAGGCAATACTGGTTCAGACCAAGGCTTGAGTAAAGGTTTGAAGTTCATCTTATTTGCATCCTATTGCATTTCACCTTTTTTTGGATCAAATTGAAGCAAATATGTTAGGAAGATTTGAAATTATACATTTTTTTATATTCAAATGTCACTTTTTAAACTTTGTGGGTGAAGTGGAGAACATGATAGAGGAAGGATAGGATGGATGCCGAAATTATGATGTAATATAAGTGTGCATTACCTAATCTTTATACTTCAGAACTTTCCATCCTTTTAGATTGTTTATGTATGAAATAATTTTTTATTGGCTATATTGCCATTGAGTAAGAGGCCGAGCCTAGAGCAGTGGTAAAGTTGTTCCTTTGTGACTGAAAGATCACATGTTTGAATCCAGAAAACAGTCTCTTTGCAGCTATGCAAGGGTAAGGCTGCATACAAGGATTACCCTCACCTCACCCTTGCTAGTCGGAGTATAATGGAGAGTGGTTATTTATATTGCCACTGAGTCCAAGTGGGAGTTTGAACCAACCAATGCAGATGCACTGCAATTCTATGCTTATTAATGGCATTGCCTTCAGGGGATTAAAATATGAGAGTTGTTACCAACAATAGTTTACCTTCATTAATGTTTCTTGGTTTTGCAGCCTGTTGACTTTTCTTTGCATATTTCTAATTGCTGAACCTCTGTCCCTTTTCTTTTTCTTTTTACGGATCACAGCAACAATATCACCGGCACTTGTGAAGCAGCTCCGGGAAGAAACAGGAGCTGGAATGATGGACTGCAAAAAAGCTTTATCAGAGACTGGAGGGGACATTATCAAAGCACAAGAGTTCCTTAGGAAAAAAGGCTTATCAAGTGCAGAAAAGAAGGCAAGCAGAGTAACTGCTGAAGGAAGGATAGGCTCTTATATCCATGATAGCAGGATTGGTGTTTTGGTAGAAGTAAACTGTGAGACAGATTTTGTCTCCCGAGGCGAAATTTTTAAAGAGCTTGTTGATGATATAGCCATGCAAGTGGCTGCATGCCCTCAAGTAGAGTATCTTGTTACCGAAGACGTTCCTGAGGAAATTGTGAACAAAGAAAAAGAGATAGAAATGCAGAAAGAAGATCTTTTGTCAAAACCAGAGCAGATAAGATCAAAGATTGTTGAAGGGAGGATTAAAAAAAGACTTGAGGAGCTGGCATTGCTTGAGCAGCCCTACATTAAGAGTGATAAAGTGGCAGTAAAGGACTGGGTCAAGCAGACTATTGCAACCATTGGAGAAAATATTAAAGTTAAGAGGTTTGTCAGGTTCAACCTTGGAGAGGGTCTGGAGAAGAAAAGCCAGGATTTTGCTGCAGAAGTGGCTGCACAAACTGCAGCAAAACAAGCATCTCCACCAGTGAAAGAGCAACCTGCTGTTGCAGAAGCCAAGGAGACCGAGCAAAAGTAAGCAATTCTATGAAATCTTACTTATTATTGAGTTAATAAATTTTTAAATTTAGGTGATTAGTTACGGGAATGTGAATTAGTTGAGATACAGAAATCGGTGCTAAATTGGGATAATTATGCTAAAGGAGACATTGTCTTGGTGATGACATTAAATTTATGTATTAATTGGCTCGGTTATATGCAAAAAGTTGGATGCATTGGGCTGGCATTTTCTCATTTTCCTCCCATGTATTCACTTAAATTTATATAACTCTCTTTATACAAATGCTGACTCATTTTTAAAATCTAGTAAAGGAATGTAAGACTTAAAACTATAGGTTATGTTTATCTCATTTTACATGAGATAAGCAACTTTCCTACACATATAAAAAAAGATTGGGTTTCACCACTCTTTTTTCTCTCTCCTCTTATCTGTGGGTCCCACTTGTAATTTTATTTCTATAACATGAGATAACTATTTTCTTACAATATAAGAAAAGTATTTCCCTAAAACTATATCGGGTATGTTTATTATGAAGTTTTTTTGGCATGTTTTTACCCCAACCTTCCCAGCTAACGCGCACACGTACGCACACAATCTTTGAAAAAACTGATTTCTTTGCAAGTCTTTAAGTCATTTAACATTGTGCTGCAGGCAATCAACAGTAACAGTCTCAGCATCATTGGTTAAGCAATTAAGGGAAGAAACAGGAGCAGGGATGATGGACTGTAAGAAAGCACTTGCTGAAACTGGAGGGGATCTTGAAAAGGCTCAAGAATACCTCAGAAAAAAGGGTCTATCTACTGCTGACAAGAAATCCAGCAGGCTAGCAGCTGAAGGAAGAATTGGTTCATACATTCATGATTCACGCATTGGTGTTCTAATTGAAGTGAACTGTGAAACTGACTTTGTTGGTAGAAGTGAGAAATTCAAAGAGTTGGTTGATGATCTTGCAATGCAAGTAGTGGCCAGCCCACAGGTGCAGTTTGTATCCATTGAAGATATTCCAGAAGCCATTGTGAACAAGGAAAAAGAACTTGAGATGCAGAGAGAGGACCTTCTTTCAAAACCTGAGAAAATCAGAGAAAAAATTGTTGAGGGAAGGGTCTCAAAGAGGCTTGGGGAGCTTGTTCTTCTAGAGCAGCCTTTTATTAAGGATGACAGTCTTTTAGTGAAAGACTTGGTGAAGCAAAGTGTAGCTGCTATTGGAGAGAACATTAAAGTGCGGCGTTTTATTCGGTTCACTCTTGGGGAAACAGCTGAAAAAGAAACAACAATACCAGCATAACTTTAAGATAAGTGCCATGAAGCATTAATGGTAACAGGGGAATCATTGTATGTGTTACAAAAGCATATGAAGTATGGGGCAAGGTGTGACTAATTTTGAAAACAGCAATCTGATTCTTCAGTAGGCATGAACACATTTTACGAATCTGTATCTACATTGAGGATACACGAGGACTAAATTTTTTTTGTTAATTCTCTGCTGTTTGTATGCTTAAGATATTAGTGGATGCATTTTTGAGTTGCAAGTTGCATAAATTTTTTGTTACCTCTCATGTAAATGATCAATCCTTTTTAAAAACTATGCGAGGAGTAGCTACTCTTTGTATATAGCACGCTGATTTTATTGCATTGTTTGGATGAGTCTTATTCTTCCTGCCATGGAAAGCAAGGTAGCTTTCCAACCTCCAAGAAGTTCTCTGATCTGTACAACAAAGTCAAAGAAGGCCTTCCTTGCTGTGAAAACCTATATTGCATCGACACCGGATACAACACGACATTTTGATACATTAATTCTAAAAAATGTTAAATTTTGACATGTTAGAACATGTTTTGATATTATATAATATTTAATTTATGTAATGTATATTACATTTAATATTCAATAATTTAAAAAAAAAAAAAATTAAACTTGTAATACTCATCAATTTTACAAAGAAACATAAGATATCCCAAATGTTGATATTAACTCAATAAAATCGTAATCGTAATCTAACGAATTTAATAGTTAGTGTTAGAATATTAGATATGATATGATATGATTAGATATGATTAGATATGATTGGATTCCGTCTTATCCGTAAATATTCTGACTGTATTAGGATTAGGTTTGGGCCTTTCACTTAAGCTCATTAGGGTCTCTATATATTGTAACTCTCTGACACAGATCAATACACAACATATTATTCTTCTATTATTTTATATTCAAGTTGGTACCAGAGCTCTTTCGTTTTGGGAACCCTCACTTCCGCTTAGAAACCTTGTTTTTTGCTTTAAAACCTAAGCTCACTGTTTAGGAGTCCTCTTTCTTGCTGTGCGTCCTTCCTGCAAGCCTTCTAGGGCTGTAAACAGCCTCTGAGTGATTTTTCCAAACGCGTCAGCACCTCTGACGGCCACCGGAACCACCGCCCGCCGTCAGAATCACTGTTCAGGCAACCGAAGACTTTTTCCGGCGACTTTTCCGACCAAACTTCACGCGATCAGGACCCTCTCTTCCCGGCGACCAGGTCTGTGGTGGTCCGGTCAGCAACGCATCTCCCACGCGCCGTCACGCGCCACCTTCTGCCGACGCGTGAGCACTATTCCAGCGGCTTTTTTCCGGCCGGTCTTGGACAGAGAAGCTCGCCTTCTCCTCCCCTTTCTGGATCTGTGATTGTTTCTGTGTGGGTCTGACCTTAGACGCGTGGTTCTTCTTGATTGGATATCGTTTGCCTTCGTTTACGACTTTTATATTTTATCTTTAAATGGCAGCAGTATCTCATGATCTCTCGGAGGTTAACTCTCCTTCTATTGTTGCAAATATAGCTCAGTCAGACAATGCATCATTTGGTTCAGGTTCGGACTATGCTGCACTCCAAACCCCTCTCAGGAAGGCTTCTCCTCAGTCTCAGCCTTATACTGGTAATCCTGTTGCTTGTGTTTCTCATTCTACATCACTTGGCACTTGGATATTTGACTCCAGTGCTACCGATCATCTATGTGGTAATAAGGAACTCTTTACATCTCTTACTTATTCTGATCATTTACCGTCTTTTACCCTTGCGGATGGAACCAAAGCCCCAGTTCGTGGGATTGGACAAGCTCGTCCGACCTCTACCTTGGCCCTGACATCTGTCTATTACATTCCTGGCATCCCTTATAACTTAATTTCTATTAGTAAGTTGATCCACTCCCTCACTTGCACCATTACTTTCTCTAACCATTCTGTTTCTGTGCAGGATCCGGGTACGGGGAAAATGATTGGAGTGGGTCGTGAGTCACGAGGGCTTTATTATCTGGATGTGCCTCGTCCTTCAGTAGCATGCTCTCTCACAGAATCTCCACAACTTATCCACAGTCACCTTGGTCATCCAAGTCTTTCAAAGTTGCAGAAAATGGTTCCTCTTTCGTCCGGTCTTCAGTCTTTAGATTGTGTGTCATGTCAACAAGGGAAGCATACACGCTCCTCTTTTGCCAGTCGAGTCAATAAACGAGCTGATGCCCCTTTCTCTCTTGTTCATTCAGATATCTGGGGTCCAAGTCGTACCTTGTCTGTCTTAGGTTTTCGGTATTTCGTTACCTTTATTGATGATTTTTCCCGTTGCACTTGGACTTATTTAATGAAAAATCGTTCTGAGCTATTTTCCATTTATAAAAAGTTTTCTACTGAGATCCATACTCAATTTGGTGTTTCTATTCGTATTCTACGTAGTGATAATGCTAAGGAATATGTTTCTATTGATTTTTCTAATTTTGGCCACACAAGGTACTTTACATCAAACTACTTGTCCTCACACTCCACAACAAAATGGGGTGGCTGAACGTAAAAACAGACATCTCATTGAAACTGCCCGTACCCTTCTTATTCATATGCATGTTACCCTTCACTTCTGGGCAGATGTTGTACTCATCTCTTGTTTTCTCATCAATCGCATGCCTTCATCTGTGCTCCACAATGACATTCCTCATAATCTATTGCTTCCAGATGTTCCTCTTTATCCTCTAACTCCATATGTCTTTGGTTGTACTTGTTTTGTTCATGATCTCACTCCTGGTAAGGATAAGTTAACATCCAAAGCCTTTCAGTGTATCTTTCTTGGTTATTCTTGTCTTCAAAAGGGTTATCGTTGTTATTCTCCCGACCTTAAGCGTTACTTAGTTTCCGCTGATGTCACTTTTCTTGATCAACAACCCTTTAATTCTATCCCATCTCAGATGTCACAGGTTGATCATGTACTTCCTGTCCCTTTTCTTGACTTGTCTTTGCCAGCTGTAGGTGCTTCTATTCCAGATGAGCAACCTATTGCTTCTATACCTGAGGACCGTCCACTTCTCACCTATCAGCGTCGCAAAACTGTGCCTCCTGTCGACTCGACTCTTGCTGACTCATCGCCCACTGCTGTTGCTTCTTCCCCTCCGGATCCTTCATCAGAGACTCTTCCCATTGCTCAAAGAAAAGGTACACGTACTACTCGTAACCCTTATCCTCTTTATACCTTTTTGAGTTATGACCGTCTTTCTTCACCTCATTTCACCTTTGTTTCTAGTCTTTCTTCTATTTCTATTCCTAAGACCACAGGTGAAGCACTTTCCCATCCAGGGAGGCGCCAAGCAATGCTTGATGAGATGACTGCACTTCATTCCAATGGCACTTGGGACCTTGTTTCTGCTCCTCCAGAGAAGTCTATAGTTGGTTGTCGCTGGGTTTTTACTGTGAAAGTTGGACCTGATAGCCATATTGATCGTCTCAAGGCACGTTTAGTTGCCAAGGGTTTTACTCAAATCTTTGGCCTTGATTATAGCGATACATTTTCTCTGGTCGCTAAGATGGCGTCAGTCCGCCTCTTTCTTGCCCTTGCTGCTGTTCGTCACTGGCCACTCCTTCAACTTGACATCAAAAATGCCTTTCTTCATGGTGATTTACAAGAAGAAGTTTACATGGAGCAACCACCTGGTTTTTTTGCTCAGGGGGAGTCTGGAAAAGTGTGTCGTCTTCGGAAATCCTTATATGGTCTCAAGCAGTCTCCTCGAGCATGGTTCAGTCGCTTCAGTTCTGCTGTTCAGGCGTTTGGCTTAATCCGCAGTAAAGTTGACCATTCTGTGTTTTATAGGATTACATCTCCTGATAAGTGTATCTATTTGTTAGTCTATGTTGACGACATCATTCTCACCGGAAGTGATCAAGACGGAATTCGTCAGTTAAAACAGCATTTGTTTAGTACATTTCAAACAAAGGACCTTAGGAAGCTGCGTTACTTCTTGGGAATTGAGGTGGCGCAATCCAGACAGGGCATTTCTATCTGTCAAAGGAAATATGCCCTGGATATCCTAGAAGAAACTGGTATGTTGGGGAGTAAACCAGTTGATACACCTATGGATCCTAATGTCAAGTTATTGCCCGGACAGGGGGAGCCGTTATCTGATCCTGGACGTTATCGGAGGCTAATTGGGAAGCTCAACTATCTTACTGTGACTAGGCCAGATATTTCTTTCGCTGTTAGTACGGCTAGTCAGTTTCTTGATTCCCCTTGTGATTCACATTGGGATGCTGCTGTGAGGATCCTCCGATACATCAAAGGAGCACCAGGAAAAGGTTTGTTGTATTCGGATCAGGGAAATACAGAAATTTGTGGTTATTCAGATGCTGATTGGGCAGGATCACCCTCGGACAGGCGCTCTACTTCTGGCTATTGTGTCTTCTTTGGAGGAAACTTAATTTCGTGGAAGAGCAAGAAACAACCTGTTGTTGCTCGATCTAGTGCAGAAGCTGAGTATCGTGCAATGGCAAATGCTACCTGTGAGTTAGTCTGGTTAAAGCAGTTGATTCAGGAGCTTCATCTTTGTGAACAGAAACAACCCATGACACTCATCTGTGATAATCAAGTTGCGCTACATATATCCTCTAATCCTGTCTTTCATGAGAGGACCAAACATATAGAGATTGATTGTCACTTCATTCGAGAAAAGATTCAGTCAGGAGAAATCTAGACTGCTTTCGTCAACTCCTCTGATCAACTAGCGGATGTTTTCACTAAAGCTCTTAGAGGTCCTCGGGTTGAATACATTTGTAACAAGCTTGGTGCTCATAATATATACGCACCAGCTTGAGGGGGAGTGTTAGAATATTAGATATGATATGATTAGATATGATTGGATTCCGTCTTATCCGTAAATATTCTGACTGTATTAGGATTAGGTTTGGGCCTTTCACTTAAGCCCATTAGGGTCTCTATATATTGTAACTCTCTGACACAGATCAATACACAACATATTATTCTTCTATTATTTTATATTCAAGTGTTAGAACTCAAAATGCAACGTAATGTAACCTTTTAGACTTTTTTTTAAGTCTTTGGAATGAGTATTAGAATGTCGAGAAGTGTCGGAGTGTCAAAAAATATCAGACACGACACGTTAGAATTTTTGAAATGTCGGTGCTTCGTAAGTGAAAACTAATTGGTATGCCACATTTTCTACTTGTTTGAAAAAAGACACTAATATAATATAGATACTGGTGTAGTGGGCAATAAAACTTGGTGTGTTCCACCCAGAACTATTATTATATTTTGTCTGACATAACCACACATGGTCATGAAATGCACATGCTCCATACGTTCATACACTGTTAACTGTCTTTTTTAAGATGACGTATTATATTAAGCGGAATTCAATAAATTCTATCATTTCAATAACCTTGTCTTGTGGTTATGATAACAAGATCCTATGCGTCTTGGGGTAATGGATTGCAAAAAACATCACTGTTTTCATAATCCGTTATAACCAACTTGAGTAAGATGTCCTGTACATGTAACAGTGTGTGTGTGTGTGTGTGTGTGTGTGTGTGTGTGTGTGTGAGAGAGAGAGAGAGAGAGAGAGAGAGAGAGAGAGAGAGGAAATATTTAAACAAATATGAATTTCTTTTATAGGTACACAACAAAATTCTTCTTTCATTTGCAATCTTATCATCTATTGCAATACACACCATCCTTATCTGCACTAAACACCTCTGCTTTCATGAATTGCAGGTGTAAATCGCCAGAGATCCACAGCAATATCTACCTCCTTCTTCTTATGAAATTTGTACAGTTTTGGCACATCAAATCGAAGCTGCCAAAGCGAGAGAACAAAAGATTTCAACAATGAGATAGGTCCAAAATTGCACTTTGGTTACTCCACAAATAACTGGCATAAGAAAACTGTATAGGTAGATCTGTCCAATGGAATGGAAGAACTTTGGCATGGCTTAAACCAAAGTTAAAACCTAACTAAAGTTTCACCATATTTTGTTCGAAATAACATTCATACAATTAATCTGGAAAGTGTGGTTCAGGGATCATAGGTGTAGAATACAGATTTACTTGAGTTTGGCTAGATACCCTACAAAAGTCGGATGAGTTAGCCTAAATGATAAACTAGGGATGTTAAACTAATCAGCCATTAATAGTTAAATTAAAATTATCTTGTGTTTGAGACAAGGAAATGATAGAATATCTATTTTTTTACGAACAAACAAGGTCGATTAACCTAGAAAAATTTAACTCTTGTTATAGGACTCAAAAGCATCAAATACGAAGTAAACTTTACTCACCTCACATAGAACTTCAGCACTGCTAGCATTGAGATCCCTTAAGGCTGCTCGTTTCACATGCTGCAATCAGATAAAATTGAACCCATGGTATTGTCACATATGAGGGAAAAATCCTCTCATTGCTGAGAAGACACACAGAATTATAGATTACATGTGAACTCATGCTTATACATTAAAAATAAAAAGTAATCAGTGAGGAGAATAAGCCATATTGGTGGTGGTTGTATTTTGTAGGGAAATTGAGCTTGTCAGTGAAAGAAAGTTACTTAGTTAGGATAGCTCAATGCCAAGCATATCCACCACTCCACTACAACTTAATGCTAAGATTTTGGGAAAAATTTCTGTATGAGATAAACTTCTAAAATGCTTCATCTAAATATTTATTTAAGAATGAATCAAACATATGAACAAAGCAGGAAAGTTCAAAGAGAAATTAATTACTAAATCGTTGAATGATTTAAAGAAATGAAATCTAGGATGCAAAAGTTTAATATGTAGAGATGCAATACCACCCCACCACATAAATATTACGCACGAGATAATAAGTCAAAAACAATCTGTCCAGGCTTGCAGAACTCAATTATTCAACCTTATAACTAGAATCTAAGATACAAATAACTTACATCTCTTGTTGACGTCTTATGCAAGGAATAAACAGCTCCAGAAGCAACCTGACAAAGCAATGTACCGAACATAGGTATATTAGAATTCCCATCAATCATATGTCTATAACCAGCATCCATGCTGTTTCTTACCTTCAAAGCAACTAAGAGAAAATCCAAATCTGCACCTTTTTTCCGGGTCCCAAATGGAGGATTCATTATAACTGTATCAACAATTGGACCTAGAGAAAACACCAAGGTAACCATATGAATTTGTTACAAAAACAGTTTTCAGCGCCAGATAAAATCTAGAGTTAGAATTGAGTTTTAGCCACCTTTCCCCTTAATTTGATGATTAGATCACATGATCATGTTGTTTGACAACTACTAGAACAAGTCACCAATACAATGAATACTTGAAAATAACATAAAATGTCCACAAGTCATACAGTAAATGATCCTTAAAAAATATACAAGTTACTATAAGAACTAAGGATTCCATTCTGAAAAACAGTTTGATCCATTACATTCTCAATAAGGGATCCTGGATACATAACGAGTAGCCAATTTGCACATCCACTTAAAAGCAAGGCAGGGAGAGCCAAAAAGGAAAGAGAGAGAAAAATCAGTAAATAGCAACTGGCAACAAACCTTCATTTCAGACAGTTTTTGTCCAAAATGCCAAATATAATTACAAATATATAAGAGTTAAGATCAGCATGATCAAACTCATTATAAGTCCATAAAATTCAACAATGAATACAATATAATTCCAGGTAGGTGTGTTTTAAAAGCTCAAGATTTCAAACATAAACTACTTTCCTACAGAGAAAACAACCTAACACCTTATACATAGAAAAAAGATTAACTCTTGACAAATGGAAATAAAAATAACAACCAAATTTTACTTCTAAGATTGTGCATCCTGAAATTAACTGGTATCATGTGAAGTGGAATTCAAGCGATTATAAACTTGTTTGGATCCAGTTCTTTCATATTTCCAATAATAAAGGTTATGCTTCAAGTACTGGAAGAAAAAAAGGTTAAGCTTCAAAACACAAACTCCCACAATGTGATGGTATCATAAGACAAAGATGATATGGAAAGCTACCTCTCCATCCCAAGTCCAAGACATTAGACTGAATAAAATCCATGTCCAGCTGCAGTTTTAATTAAAAAGCAAAGGAATGGCATGCATCAGTTATTAATAACCAACTTTAACATAATAACTGCATTTGATTAATATATATATATATATATATATGTATGTATATATATTGTATTAACAGGCAGCATACTAATGACCACTTTTCATCTCCCCTTATTCCATTAGAACATCAAAGCATTGACCAGAATCTTCATCATTTTTATGTACAATTTTCACATTATTATTCTTTTCCTCAAACAAGAGACTTGGTTATCAAGAAACCTGTGCACTCTTTCACCATAATAATCAGCAGAAAGACAATACCTCAAGTTCCTCAGCATTAAGAGATGCTATTTCAAGAGATTCTGGATCAATGTCAATGCCAAGAACATGCCTGAACAATGCTAACACAAACCAAGAGAATATTAGATATAGTAATGTGAAAACATATATTCGTCTGGAAGGGGTAAAAAGGTATTTGGTACAATCTTTTACTAAATGTGAACTTGAATTTTGGGACTTAAGATATGATTCAGAAAGGAGGAACTCTAAGAGACTGTGTATATGAAATAGTATATTGTTCAGAAAATTTGGAAATAAAAATTCATTGAAGACAGTTCCTGCAGGTTCTATACAATAGTAGTTCAAAAATTTTAGAATAGCTGTAATGAATGTGATTCTAATATCAGCTCTGATTTCGGTAGCATAAAATATGAAAGTAAGGGAATGCGACACTAAAAGAAGACAAACTGGTAAAAGATCCCACAAAGTAGGCTGCAACTCACTCTGCACTCAAAAGAGAAGCTGCAACACCTAATGTACCACAGCCACATCCAAAGTCAGCCACTACTTTGTTGCTCACATCCCCAAAAGAATTCTCTGCCTGATTTTCCAGAATCACAAAGGAAACAGGACTTTAACAATATGGAATTACAATAACTATTCTTAGATTAAAAAAAAATATACACTATACGCATCCCTAAACTTTTTGCAGATCCACACACAGTTGCACCCCCATTAGATTTATTTACTACAATAGTAATACCCTCCTCACCTTTCCCTACCATAAGATTGAAACTTACCAGATGATTATATAAGCACAAAGAACTGCAAAATGCTACCTTAAAAACCCAACAACTATTTTAAATTGTCCCAAATTAAAATCATAACTAGATATAACAATCACACCACATGCAAGTGTAACTTCCACAAATAATCATACATAAAAAAAATACCCATTAACAAGCACCACAAGATAAACATGGGATGAGGCAAAAGAACACAACTTTAGCATATTTGATAAGTAAAGTTTGAAGGGTCATGAAGAGACACAAAAACAAAGAGAAATAAATAAATATCAAACAATAATGGTGGAAGGAGAATAAAGAGATAGAGGGAACACAGTGAAAAGCATTCGAGAAGCGATGTGGGGTCCCGTTGGGTACTGTTCAAGCTCCACCTGCACAACAAGCAAGTGAGTGAATGAGAGTGATTCTTCAATCTTCACTAGTCATAGTTTATGCTGGTAGGTGTGAGAGATTCAGAGTAAGAAGTGAGAGAGAAAAAAAAAAGAGAGAGTGAGAAACCTTTGGGTGAGGAAACTGGTCTAAACCACCAAGGAGGCCTTCTAACTGCTTCAGCTTCATGTTTTCCGGCGACCCCAAAACGCGACCAAATTTTCTTCCACTTCAATGTTACTTGCTGCCATTGCCAATTTCTCCCTCAATTTTGTTCCCCCAACTTCCACCATTCCAATTCCCACGGCCCGGCCCGGCCCATTCAAACTGCCTCAAAATCTGGCCTCATTTTGACTTTTTTTTTTTTTTTTTTTTTTTTTTTTTTGTATTTTCAACTTTATTATATTCTTAATTGTGGTTTTGCTTCAAGATTTTTTTTTGGGTAGTAAATCGGGATATTGTTTTATTTTTATTTTTTAATTTACAATGTCATTAGATTTGGTTTTTTAAAAAATATTAATAAATTAACTTCTGAAAATTTTAAAATGCTATTATGTTTATTTTTATAAAAAGAACTAAAATATATTGTAATTTAACGCACCAAGTTAATTTTAATGATTTTTTATGACTAAATTAAAATGTGAGATTACATTAGAAATATTGTCTTGCTTGGTTTAATCGCACAATCCCATTTCTATTATTATCATCATTAATAGAAAAATTTATGGTATTTAGAAATTATAATTAATAGAAAGTTACTTCTATAGCTACTTTTAAACAAGTTTTTAGAAATTATAATTAATAACCTCAACAATAAGAAGGTATTTATGGTATGCCCAATGGGTGAAGCTCATTTGGTAACTTGGCGCTGAGTTAGTGGGGTTGGATATGTGTTCGATTCCCGCTGAATGCATTCTTGGGGAGGGGACTAAACCTTTAGCCATCACTGTTCCCCCGCACTCCGGATTAGTCCCATAGCCGGCTCAAAGAGTCGAAGCTCGTGGGGATACCGGAGGGAGCCAACTCGTCTCAAAGAGATAATTAGGGTTGGGTAATTCCAAAAAAAAATGTATTTATGGTATGTTTTATTTATAATTAAAATTTAAAAGATTTGGAAAAACTGTTTTTTATTTTTATTTAATAAAAAATAAAAAATTATCATTTTTCCCTCATACTAAAACTTTACACTAATATACCCCTGTTTAATCGATTACATAGTTATTTAATCGATTATTTTGCAAAACAATAAAATAATCGATTAGCTTAATCGATTAAACTATGCAGTGTTGGAAAAAAAAACTTGCTCTCTTTCTTACTTTTTCATCTAATTGTTAGAGCACTTCGTTTGTCTCTCACTTCACTTTATATTTTTCTTTTCCGTACACTTACTACATCTATTGTTCACTTGGCTTGCACTTAGATAATGAGATTTGTTCATTCCCTGGTTGGATGCCAACCAAAGTGATGCTCACCACTTGGCTTGCTGGTGCACTTGAGTATATATGAATTGGGGGTGGGATGTGACACTTTCTCTGCTCATAACATCTATTATTTCAATCTTCCATGACCTATTGGTAGTGGTATTATATGAAGTAATGACTTACTAGGTTGCTTGAAATTCATTTTCTTATTTTATTTTTTTAATGATATTTTGCTTTTGGCATGTGATTTACTGATTTCAGTTGCCAGTGATGATAATTACTCGGAGCTTCCTGATTGGCAATGTGACTTCTACTTCGACTGTGGTTGTGGTATTCTTTTACTCCCTTACCCTGCATTTGTTTTCTTTTACTATCTCTGTGTTAGTAACTTGTATTTAACTCCAGCTTTCTCTTGAATTTGTAGATGTGATAGAGGAAGATGCCTTGAATGAGGAATCCTATGTTTAGGTTTTAAGAATTTTGATCACCAAGCCAGATGTAGTAGGTATGCGAAAAAGAAAAAATATAGAGTAAAGTGAGAGACAAAGTGTTATAGCACTAAGATGAAAAAGTAAGAAAGAGAGCAAGCATTTTTTTACAACACTGCATGGTCTAGTTGATTAAGCTAGTTAGTTGTTTTATTTTTTCGCAAAATAATCGATTAAATAGGAGCATATTGATGTATCACTTTGGTATGAGGGCAAAATGGTTATTTTTTATTTAATAAGTAGCAAAAGGGTCAAAAAGCCAAAAAAAATATGTGAGAGGTAAGTTATAAAAAAAATAAAGAGTTAGTGATTTTAAAGTAAACCAAGAATGAGTATTCAAACTTTATTTTGTTTACATATTTTAAATAATAATTTGAATACTTAAGAAGTATATTGTTCGATTATGATGAATTGTAAATGTATGATCGAATGTCACTGATAAACCTAGAGTTTTATATGTTTGCAATTGTTTACAGAAGATATGATGCAAAGCCAAAGAGATAAGGGTGACAATTAATAAAATAAAAAATTCAAAAAGTGTGTAATTGAGAGACTTAAATTATTATTTGTAAGTTAAGTTACTTGTAGATGAAGAGTCTAAATAAAAGTTTGTTGAGGCCTGAGGGAGAAGGTAATAGAGTCTAAATAAAAGACATTATTAGTAAATGATATGAGACCTTAAAGTTAGTTTATAATACATAAAATAAATAATGCTCTCATTTGTATTAGTGAGATAAGCTTAGGTTACAAAACTTAAGTTGAATATGATTGTCGTACTAAGACCATAAGCTATAAACTTTCGGAAATAGAAGTATAATGTTGTTAGAAAAGTTGTTAGGTTATATTATAGAGATAGAGGTTGTGGGACCCACGCTTTTTTTGAAAACAAGTGTGGGTCTTATAATTTCTATCTCTATAACATAACCTAACAACTTTCCTACAATATTATACTTATTTTTCCTATAAACTTTACTTCTACTAGTATCAACCCGCATGCCATTTTCTGCCCTTGCTGCTTAGGGCTCTGGTTATGGACGTAAACTCTCTAAGGGTCGGTTACTTTGCATGCATTGTGTAACACCCCGTATATATCCGGTAGTGTTATCATTACATCGTATTAAGTTACGCTTAATTAAAAATGCGGAATATTCTTTTTCTTTTCAATTATGACGTTATTATCAATTACCAACTTGATTACTTAATCAATTTCATAAAATATCGCCTGAATGTAAATTGCAATAAGACATAAACTGAAATACCTCAATATATAAATAAAGTGAGTATCTAAATCACAGATCTACATCACGTAGTCCGGACAATATCCTGATGCATTATTACAACTCCAAAACAAACTAAGACAGAACTAATCTATGTGTCATGGACAATCCCCATGCTCACCAAATCAACAGTGTCTCAACCAGATAATCATAAACATGAAATGAAGCTCAAAGCATAAAAGCAGCATGCAAATCCAGCATCCAACAAGTCAGCATATAAAATCATCAATATCTAACTCAGCTCCGGCCTCCTGCCGCCTGAGGTCTCAACATTACTTGACCCTGAAATAAGCATTCCCCAAACGTGGGGTGAGATCTCTAAACAAGAAATCTCAGTAAGACAAGGGGTCCTCAAGGATCTTTCACCCCAAGCTCACTCACATGTGCAATATAAGTTCTAAAAGCATTTATATCAATATAAGTTCCAAAACTATGCAGTGCAACAGATATTCATGCCATGTGTGTTTATCACTATCTACTGGCAAGAGAAATGCAGGAATACGTCTATACCTACATGTAGTACAAGGAACACCGCTTGCACCTCACCCACAGCCTCACCATCTTGTATGTACCACATACTCAGGCTTACCGCATAGGTGGAACACCACATGCATATCATAAAGGCACTAGCATATAACAACTCAATAGCATTTCCAAAATATCAAAAGCATGTAACACATCATGCATATAACCATACCCCCATGGGACATAGTGGAACCACAACATGGCTAAACTGAGGACACGAAAGCTTACCTTACAAGCTCACTATCCAATGCCAAGAGTCCTCACAGCTCAAGTCCAACACACAGTAGATCACAATCTGATTTAGGACCAGCAAGTGTATCAACATACATAGCTCAAAAGCATTAACATAAAGACTACGTTCTCCTTTAACGATTCACGTCTTAAGGCTTCCAACAAAGCCACAAGCTCTTAATCACATGCTTCTGACTTAGTTCATTAATTACAGAAGTTCAACTTCATCAATCTAGGGTCCACGAACCCTCAATAACATACTGTACACACAACAGAGCTACTGTTATTCGAAATCCCAGAATATCCGGATATTTCTCTAGGCATATCCGGATATGCAATATCCGGATATCTCACTGACCATATCAGGATATACAATATCTGAAAATCCAGATTCCCATATCCGGATATCCAAATCCCATATCCGGATATTTCACGGGCAGATATCCGGATATTTCACGACAGAATGCAGAAATTGCATTTCGTGAAGATATCCTTCCAAGGTTGGGTTTTTACCGATTATAAACACTTAAACATGCATTTCTAGATGTGTTTGACATTACCCAACGTTAAGTTATCATCTTTTAGCCTTTAGATACATCAAGGTTCCATTTTTAGGCATAAAAACTCAAGATCAAGTTGAGGTACATGCTCAAGGCTTCAAAGCAGAAACAAGGGCTGCTCTTGGAATTCACAACCAGCTCCAACAAACTGACTACACAAGATCAACGAAAATGCCACAAAGCTTAGACATTTCTACACAAAGGAAGCTCCTTGAAGCTTCACAAACCAAGAAGATGACTCCACAACCCCCAACTCAACAAGACAGCACCTCAAGCTCACAACAACAGCATCACAACTCAAAAAAAGACCAACAAAGCAGTCCCAAAGCTAGCTCTCACCCTCACCAAGTGTTTAGAAAGAAGGCACAAGCATCGAAGGTGATAACTTGGCCAAGAAATGAAGGGAAGAGAAATGGAGCACTTTTCTAGTCAGCCTCCTCCAACAACTCACGCTGGAAATTCTGTTTTCTAGGGCATTGTGCCCTTAGTAAGTGTATATATAGCCACTCAACAATTAAACACGCAGTATTAACTTTAATCCTACGCTTAGCATTTTAATCCCAAACTTTGGATTCTTAACCTACTCAATTTTACAAGAATTATAATATTTTTATTATATTTTTCTGAGCACCTTTTCGGTACGCGCTTTTCACAGCCAGTATCAGATTCTGGCACCAGTTCTCATTATTTTGACTTGAAACTCGTTTTACAAGTCCTAAGTATTATTCTAGTAATTATTATGCACTTATTATAATT